ACAATTGAAGCCAGAGCGAATCACCAGGAAACAGGGGTAAGTAAATTTGAAGCAAGTGTGATACTGGCATCTATAAATATGCAGCACAAAGTAATTATCTTATTCTAATATGCACTGACTAGTCAGCCTGCTTTGACCTGTTCTGAGTCAGAGACCTAGAAGAGGGCTCCTTGGAACTCCTTATGCTGCCAATGAGAAGAAACCACTGCCAGAAAGATCCTAGGTAAAAGCTATTTAAATCAGAAGCACACACATCTGTACTCAATCTAGAAGGATTTTGGAGTTCTTAAATAAATACACAGAAAGTTCCTTTACAAATCAACTGTAGTAACACAGCTGAAATGTCATAGCAACATGATTTAATGACTCGACAGAGTCTGACAAGAATGGACCACAGGCCCTTCGAAGTGTTTGATGTTGTCTGCCATGAGGAACAATCTTATCTAAAGGATTTACTAATTCAAATCATCAGAATATTTCAGTATTTACCCTAGGAAAATATTCAAACATTTAGGGCCAAATGATACATGGAATTATCTAATCAAATAAGGAAATGCTTGTCCTTACATTGGGTGGGATGTAGGTTGGAAGTAGGGAGCTGTGTCATCATCCCGGTCATATTCATAAAGACTAATTGACATCAGAAGCTAATGGTTTGGATCTGAAAGGGGGGGACTAAGTGCAGGTAATGGGGAGAAACTGTCAAAAATGAAAAAACAAACAAACAAACAAACAAACAAACAAATAGAAATTATTCTCAAATGAAATGAATCCTTTGCAGGATTGGCAAAAACTTAGTTGATGATATTCTATCTACTCTATAAAAACTATGACCCCTTTCAAAACATTAAATTGTATATGGCCTGTATGAAGATTGCTATCATATTTAGTCAACATTCAAAGGTAAAGAGAAAGAAGAAAAATATGCTACAGGTAATTCTTGCTAAACTATACAAAAAACCCTACCATTTTCTGAACTAGAAGATAGGATTTTAATTTTTGCTTAAGTACTCTGCATATCCAAATTAATCTCCATCTCAGTTGTCAAAGTTCGTAAGTAAACACAGTGTGTGAAATGTAGAAGTTAGTCATAGTGGGGTCTCTGGCTATTATAAAAAGCTAATGGGCAGGTTTGAGAAGTTGGGGAAATTATTCTTAAGCAGCAAAATACAGGAAAAATCACTGAAAATCACCCCTTCAGTGATTTTTTTCAAAAAAAAAAAAATCTTACAGTTCTTCTACTCTTCCCATTTCTAATTCCTCTAATGAAAAGTTTGGTACCCTTTCTTTTTCCAAATCAATGATATCCTGTAGTGGCAAAGAGAGGGGAAGTAGAGTAGATGCAGACCATCTAATATAAGAATGTCTCCTGAGCAAGGAATTTCTAAACTTCTATAGTAGACACTATTTACAGATGGATTTGAAAACTTGTGAATTATAGAAAGGTAAGAGCCATTCAAAATTTTCTACAAAAACATAGCCTTGTAATAACAAAGTTAGAGTGTATGACCGAAATAGGGAAATTCTTATTAATATTTACCAAAGCATCTGTTTGTGAGAAGAGCTTATTTTTGATTCTTTATATCAACTTCATTCAAAAGATATTTGGATTCCAAAATAAAAATAGTGACTGTCACCGAGATTCTCTAGAATCGTGTATGAGATCATGTATGTATGTGTGTCTATTTTAGAAAATATGCAGAAAAACACAATGAATAATAAATACCCCATATCCAGAATTGAGATTTGTCAACATTATCATATTTGCTTCATTTGTTTTAAATTAGAAGATAAGAATATCACAGAAAAAATTTAAATCCTTTTTATTGCTAACCTGCCAGTCCATGAGAATCAAGCTCTACAAGCATCGAATTTTTTTGTTTTATTTTCTAATACGTAGCAAGCATTGAATTAATGCATGTCTCCTCTGCCTTTCCACAGATGTAAGAACTGAGTATATTTTCTTCTAGTATCTTTTATGATACTTTTACAAATATTTGAATGTATTAATAAACATTTATGTCTAAAAGTAAAATTTTTGAAAATATTATCTAAAAAATATCATACTGTATTTAGCCTTTTTCACTCAAGGTACTGTTGACCAGAATTCTGTAAGCACACAAGAACTTCAATGTACCATTCCTAACATGGAACCTTGCTCAGTTAATACAATAGAATTCCATTATCGATGCCTTCCAAATTCCTGAGTAGAATATTATGATCAATTTTTACAAGACCCTGGACTGTCCATGCTCAGACTCCTCTACATAGCTCTGCTTTCTAAAATTTTATACAAAATATGGCTTTGAAGTAACAGAATTAAGGAAATGGAAGAAGAAACAAGATGAACGATCTAAAAAAGATCAAGTATTGTTAATGGCCATTGCATATGCACTGTCGGATAAAGTAAACGAGTAATTACTGGACGACCTGGGCAACTTAGATTTGGGCATAGGAGGAAGGAGAAATAAGAAGTTAATTAAGTAAAAACTCTTTAATCATAAATATGCATTGAATATATCAGTACCATTTCTGGATACATTTCTTTAAAAAATAAATGATTTCCTATTTCTGGCCTCTGAAAGTCCAAGGAATAAGAACTAAATACTAACAACAACCCCTATCTAGTACTCACATAATGGTTTCTAAATACTATCTCCCCTCCCCCAAAGGAACTAGGTCTCTTTAGAGAAATGGCTAATTCCAATACTGGAAAAGGAATATATAATATACCTTGCTTAGAACACCTTGTCCGCTTCCCCTCCAAAAAAACACAAGCTATGAGCACTACTCAGTGCTTGTGAAAAAGATTTAGGAATAAACCTCAAGAAACTCCCACTTGATGTCCAAAGATGAGATAATTTAACATCCAAAAGAATCACAGCAATTGACTAAAATATATGGAAATCAAATTCATCTCAAAATCATCGACACATAAAATCTGAATCATGAGTTCATAATGATACTTAAGAAAAAAAAGCATTATTATTTATACACTAGGTAATCAAATCACTTTTTCGAAAAGGCTAAATATGACCAAAGAATCAAGCATTTATCCTCTGTTCGCTGTAATAACTATATATACTTCAGGATAACTGAAGAGTTGATACAGGCAAGTTTCTACCTATAAGAAAGTCGTCAAATGTTAAACCTGAATATAGTCAAATTTTAGATCTAACTACTAACTAATAAGGAACACAGGGGACTGAACGCAATTAGCAAAATCCAGTCTGGGAGAAACTCTAAGGGGCATACCATCTGGTTTGTTTAAAAGATGGATTAGGCGGGGGGAGGGGTGTCAGGGGAGGGCTCTGGGGAGAGGAAGGTGGAAACCTCTAAATTAAAAGAAATCAACCACAATGGAAATGTGTGGATCTTACTTTGATCTACACATTTTTGATTCTTAAAAGTAAATTGTAAAAAAAATAATTTATGAGACAATTGGAGAAATTCGAACACTTAAGAATAAAAATTATTACTAATTTAGGTGAAATAATGATACTACGGTCAGTTTTTTAGAATGAGTACTTATAGAAATGGTATCATTTCATTCAGAAATACTTCAGCTTGTATTATTTCCAAATAATTTGGGGAAAAAGGGGAAGTTGGTAGATATAGAGAAAAGAAGCTGAACAGTGTTGATAATTATTTAAGTAAGAGTGCATGGAGGGAGGTCTTTGTACTCTTTCCTCTGCTTATATATGTTAATGTTTTAGAAAAACAAAAGATAAAGGCTCAGGGGGTGTTGTAAACTGTAAAATGCTAAAAGGCATCATTAGGATTAAGATAATTTTTTTTTCTCTCAAATATCAAAATCTTTTCAGTGAGGCATACTCTGTGAACCTTAAATGTAAATAACAAAATACTATTTGTATCAGAGAATCTTCCCTGCCTGACACAGACTGAACTGGAGAAGGCTCTAGTCATAGATCCAAATCATGAGAACTTCAAATGCAGTGCCTTATAAAATGCAATAAAATAGAGCATAATCCATAGAAACAAGCACATGAGTGGTCAGATGCAGAGAACCAACATAATGGAAATGTACAGATCACTGGAGGTTGTGAAAACTCTCTTCCTGATCATTTTTATTAAGACTTAAGTGACTAATGAGGCTTTGAATGATATCATCTATTTCTGCTTAGCAGTAGAACAGTTAATATGCAATATTAAAAAGATAAAAATTAATACTCATAAATATTAAAATGAAGTTTTTCATTTTGTAGCATGTCTGCATTGTCTGCATCTGCTCCCTGTTTCCCTACCCTCCAGCCTAGTGATAAACTTGCTGGCATTGACAAGCAAACCACCAATAGAACAGGTACCTTTGTCAGTGCTGTAGGCAGATTCTGGTACCTGTTTGTATATCAGCTACGTACTGATTAGTCTTATGATTGTCTAAATCACCAAAAATTACACAATGCTCCTTCAGGCTTCTAGAATTGAGTCTGGATGTTGGCTGGCAGATGTCCCTGGAGAGACCAGGCTTGTCCTGTCAGCTGCTATGATGAATACTATCAGATACAAAGTAAGAAGTGGCTGCATTAACATATGCCTGCCAGTCAGTTATGGGCTAGAGGGTGCTTTTGGGGACGCGGAAGAAAAGCATTCTCTGGCCTAATGATACTGACATAGACATCCAGTGTCTGGTCATATGTCTGAGTGCCATTTTTTGATTAAGTATTAGTGACAGCATGCCCATCACATTCAAACACTACACTCTATCACAGCCTTCAACAGTTTACTGGTGTGACTTTTCATTTATCCCTCTACCTACATTTACGCAACAAAGATAAGAGAACTGACATACTGTTTCACAAACTGAACATAGTATGACAACTTCACAGCAAAAGCTTTCTCTCTGGATATGGCTTTATGTCGTTAATCTATTCAATAATCAAAAATATGAGATGTTAGATAAAATGCTCAATTGTTGTTTTCTTTCAACCAAGTCTGATGAAATGGATAGATTATAGTAGGAAAATGAAAAAAAAACATACCTAAAGACTGCGAGAGTCAGGGACCAGAGCACTAATGGCTTCCGCAGTTCAAACTTCGCCCGTTTGTTCATGAGGTGCCGACCGCCAAAGATAAAGGCAGCATACAGAGCAGAAAACAGGAAAGATTTCTTCCTATGAGCAAACAAAAAAACCAAAATCTTATGAAATAAAAATTTAAGCAATTTATTTTTATCCATTAGAAATTTATGTTTATTCATTATCCATCAACTTTTATACCAATCCTCTCTTTTAAGCACTGAAAATATTTTCTTTGGTATGTGCCCCCTTCACTGAAGAGACCCGTTGCAGGAAGTGACACCCAACGGAAGAATTCAGACGCTCAGACAACTTTGTTAGAGGAAGGAGAATTTAATGCCAGCAGAGAGCGTGGGGCATTCAACAGACCCAAAGCACGATCTCCCCTTGGTTAGATTTCTTACAGCTTATGTACCCTTGCAGTGTCCATGCAAGGGGCGCGTGATTCCTTTGTCTGAGGTTTCATGTGTGCTTCATGACTCACGATGGGAATTTCCAGACTACTGGTCCTACAGGTCATTTGTTTTGTAGCATCCACGACCTTGGCATTATCAGCATCATTATAGGATTCTTGAACAGAGACGGGACCCGCTCAGCGGATTCCTATCCAAAGGCTGAGCTCTAATTGTAACATAGCAAGCAGTTTTACACAGTCTTGTTATTCCCACACAGCTGCAGAGATAAGGAAGAATATTAGTTGGTTGGCAAGCTCTCAATTAACAGATGTGAGCTGGAGAGCCCATGAGGTGGGAGAGGTAGCTATGGGAAAACATGTCAGCTGGAGAGCACTGGGCAGCATGGGGGGCGAGAGCAGTTTTAACTGGCTCAGTCGTTACTTCTGCAGGCCCTTTCCTTTGCATTTTTTCAGATGCCTCCTCTCCTCTCTCATTCCCAACATTCTATTTTTATGTTGGAGTCTCGCATTTTATCTAAACTACCTCAGGGGATCTCCTGTTAGTGGTGAGTAAAGTACGTGTGGGCTGCAGCTCGCTGCTGCTCTATGGCTTCTACCGTCTTTTAAGCTTCTTATTAGCAGGGGCAGCAGACACGGCCCTATCAGGTAGATTCCTACGAGTAGTAAAACTGCTCCTTTTAAGGTTTTAAATCTACCAAAGGCTGAAAATTATCCCTCTAAAAGGCTATTGAGGTTCTATTTGTGCCATTACTTGCACAGGCATGTGCCATCTTCTTGACAAGTTCCTCAACTGTTTGGCTCTGGTCATCTATCTGTAGGTAACAGTTAGTGAGATTGAATTTTCTACACATCTAGTAAAGCCCAAATGGGGCTATTTAGTTTTGGACCCTGCCTGGGTCCTGTCAGGCTCTAGTTAGCTCTGGGAATCTGGCCAATGGATTTTTCTCTGTCCTATTTTCCTACTATACACTTCATTTGGAGGTGGTATTATAATATCGTTGGCCTAGGCAAATTAAGTGTCCAACTGACTCTGAAATTTCCTTTACCTCTAGCCAGGCAGTATTGTCCTATAATAGTATGTTTTAAAATCTATTGACTATCATCAGAGGTGTGTGGGACCATTATATTTGGCATTGTCTTGGTGGGAACTAGTTCTGTAGCTTCCCACAGCTACTTATCCTCTATTAGAGTCCCTCTGTCCCACACACGCCCCCACATATAAACAGAAAGTGATATTTAGGGAGCGAGCTATTCCTTTAGCCAACCTTCCTTTGTTCTGCAGGTGTCCTCCTG